AAACAGTAATCAGTCTTCACAAAAGAAAACACACACATTACTGGTATCAAGTGAAAATTAAAACAGAAATCAGTCTTCACAAAGGAAAACACACACATTACTAGTATCAAATGAAAATTAAAACAGTAATCAGTCTTCACAAAAGAAAACATACACATTACTTGTATCAAATGGAAATTAAAACAGAAATCAGTCTTCACAAAGGAAAACATACACATTACTGGTATCAAGTGAAAATTAAAACAGAAATCAGTCTTCACAAAGGAAAACATACACATTACTGGTATCAAGTGAAAATTAAAACAGTAATCAGTCTTCACAAAGGAAAACACACACATTACTGGTATCAAATGGAAATTAAAACAGAAATCAGTCTTCACAAAAGAAAACACAACAAACAAACAGCACAGTGTAACAGCATGAAACACCCACACTCTGCTGTGGGGTTCATAGGTACACAACAAACAAACAAACAGCACAGTATAACAGCATGAAACACCCACACTCTGCTGTGGGGTTCATAGGTACACAACAAACAAACAGCACAGTATAACAGCATGAAACACCCACACTCCGCTGTGTGGTTCATAGGTACACAACAAACAAACAGCACAGTATAATAGCATGAAACACCCACACTCCGCTGTGGGGTTCATAGATACACAACAAACAAACAGCACAGTGTAACAGCATGAAACACCCACACTCTGCTGTGGGGTTCATAGGTACACAACAAACAAACAGCACAGTATAACAGCATGAAACACCCACACTGTGCTGTGGGGTTCATAGGTACACAACAAACAAACAGCATAGTATAACAGCATGAAACACCCACACTCCACTGTGGGGTTCATAGGTACACAACAAACAAACAGCATAGTATAACAGCATGAAACACCCACACTCCACTGTGGGGTTCATAGGTACACAACAAACAAACAGCACAGTATAACAGCATGAAACAACCACACTTTGTTGTGGGGTTCACAGACCTCCTCATTATTTGCAGAGGTAACCAATGTATTGATAAAGCTCCTCCATTATCCCCTATTACTTGTATCGCTACCTTAAGGAGGGTCCCCTCCCATAAAACATGTTACTATGTCTAATCCTGTTAGCTTGTGAATAGCGGTCCTGATGGGGATAGGGAACACAATATCCAATGCAAGATTCAGGTTTAGGGACAATGAAAACCTACTCAAAGACCCCCATCATGTCAGGGTGATTTTCTAGACATGTTTAAGCCCCCCTTTATAAGGAGCTATGTTATACTTTTATAGCTATCCCAAAGAGGATACATGCCCAGGTACAGAAGCAAGTGTGTCATGTTGGGTCCTGTCAACTCGTAAGGGGGGGGGGGGGTAGTGAACACTTGATACACATGGGATCCATGAACACAGAACTTGATATTGTATTTGAGCTCAATTACACTGAAAACCTACTCATAATTAACAGTCAAGCCCCCTTTGGTAGGGTGCTATACCATATAGGTAAGGAAATCCTCTGAGCCACCCCAAGTCTGCTTGTCAAGTTTAGTCCTGCAAGCTCCAATACATTGTTAGTTTACATGTTTGGTTTTAAACTCAGGGCTAATAAATGGGCAATGTGCTCACACCATGAGTACCAATTTGTAATATTATAAACCTTCAAGTTGACATCTGAAATATTAAGAGGCTAATAAAAACACAAATTACATAAGAGAAACAGTAAGTGAGATTTACTACCTTGGGGATCAATCAGAAGTGGCCATCGTCGAGAGTGAGTAACAATAATACCATTATCTACAGAAAAACTGTCAACTGGCAAGCCAGCAATCTGCCACGAACGAATCTCCACAGGATCCCCCAAAGTACATATCAAAGAGAAGCTGTCAGAGCAAGCAATCATATTTGCTCGACACAAGGTGTGCCAATTAGCAATGCATTCCTATAAATAAAAAAAAGTTTTTATTTGTGATATATTTTATACTACAGAATAACATCACTCTATCCCACCACACCATGACACAATCTATCACATCACATCATGACACCATCTATCACATCACATCATGATTCCATCTATCACAACACATCATGACACCATCTATCACATCACATCATGACACCATCTATCACAACACATCATGACACTATCTATCACATCACATCATGATTCCATCTATCACATCACATCATGATACCATCTATCACATCATGACACCATCTATCACAACACATCATGATACCATCTATCACAATACATCATGATACCATCTATCACAATACATCATGATACCATCTATCACAACATATCATGACACCATCTATCACATCACATCATGACACTATCTATCACATCACATCATGATACCATCTATCACATCACATCATGACACCATCTATCACATCATGACACCATCTATCACAACACATCATGATACCATCTATCACAATACATCATGATACCATCTATCACAATACATCATGATACCATCTATCACAATACATCATGATACCATCTATCACAACATATCATGACACCATCTATCACATCACATCATGACACTATCTATCACATCACGATACCATCTATCACATCATATCATGATACCATCTATCACATCACATCATGACACCATCTATCACATCATATCATGATACCATCTATCACATCACATCATGACACCATCTATCACATCACATCATGACACCATCTATCACAACACATCATGACACCATCTATCACAACATATCATGATACCATCTATCACAATACATCATGACACCATCTATCACAATACACCATGACACCATCTATCACATCACATCATGATACCATCTATCACATCATGACACCATCTATCACATCACATCATGACACCATCTATCACATCATGACACTATCTATCACATCACGATACCATCTATCACAACACATCATGATACCATCTATCACATCACATCATGATACCATCTATCACATCACATCATGACACCATCTATCCCACCAAACATCATGACACCATCTATCACATCACGATACCATCTATCACAACACATCATGACACCATCTATCCCACCACATCATGACACCATCTATCACATCATGATACCATCTATCACAACACATCATGACACCATCTATCACATCATATCATGATACCATCTATCACATCACATCATGATACCATCTATCACATCACATCATGACACCATCTATCCCACCAAAACATCATGACACCATCTATCACATCACGATACCATCTATCACAACACAT